ATATTCTTAGGGTTAGGTGGAAATACACGATGATGTAAAACGGAGAAAACTATTAACGTACTTACTTAATTAGAACTGTTATATTCTTAGGGTTAGGTGGAAATACACGATGATGTAAAACGGAGAAAACTATTAACGTACTTACTTAATTAGAACTGTTATATTCTTAGGGTTAGGTGGAAATACAGATACAAAGCAGATATTTATTTTACACTGAAACAACAGGGACTGATGTAAAGTTCTATACTTTAATTGTTGTAATGTGACAAGGTTCACACCATAGATGGAAATACAGATACAAAGCATATATTTATTTTACACTGAAACAACAAGGTTCACACCATAGATACAATACTCAAATGTAGCCAAAATATAGTTAATGAATATTTTCGGTTGATATTAATTGTACATTAATTTAAGAGTAAATTTAATGTTCCACGTGAGATTATTTTTACAAGTTAGTCAGGATGTATGAAAAGGGATCAAAAATAGATCTTTATATCCTGATCTTTCTCTTTAGATACCTCACTGTTATGAAAAGTTGGACAGAAAAATCAAATTAGTGGCCTAAAGTAAAATAGGGATTAAAATGAAGTCTATACTTTCAGAATAGCTTCCATAGGTTATTTGGCTTCTGATGATATAGCTTTCGAAATGAAACTAAAAACTAAGAAATCATGTTGAACTTTTGAACTGGAAACCGCAGAAACAATTGGTATTACAAAACAACGGTTATAGTTTCTCTGGTACATCTATATATTAACACCTTAACTCTACAGGTAACGAGGGGGATCGTGGATCTAAGGATGCAGATGATGCTCTCCTTACTGTTCCGAAAGAATCTAAGTCAGGTAAGTTAGGCTGGAAAGTTTCTTGATGTGAAACTTAAATTTACGAATCTATAGCATTACCGATATGTATTTCTTTAGTTTTCTTTACTGAGTGGAATAAACTTTCCTTCGCCCAAAAATTAAATTAGGTTATAATGTTTAATTTCGAGCTGCAGTTTATGCATGTTGAATTTTTCCTAGAAACAACTCAAATGTTAAAGAGTTTTCTTTTAAAAACAATAAAAAAAAAGTGAAATACTAAATGCGAATAGGCTTAATGAAACTTGCAAATGAGTTCACAATTTCAGAAATCAGCTTGTTGTTTTAACGGAACGGTCTATCCAAATGATAAAATTATCAGAGCATCCAACACGCATATCCGCTCCAGTGAATAATTGTAATCCAAAGATTTCGTTTCCCTAAAAACAAAACAAAACAACGGAATTTTATGTCTGTCTAAGGACCCTCCAATAATTAATTATTCGAAAGCCAGGCGAGGTGAAAAGCAACATGAATAGTGCATTACGGAGAAGAATACTAGAACACTGAGCTAGAGAAGATAGCCCGGAGTCAGACTTAGGCATTTGGATCTCTCATATTGATTTTCCGCGTATTCGATGACGTTTTAATCCATCTCAACGAAACAGGAAGGAATGGAAAGCACCGAAACACTGACAAGAGCCTAGTAAAAATGTGTCATGTTATATTTTGTTTAACAACCCGAGGCAAAGAGAGAGGGATCCTTAAGTCCCTCCTTTTCTGTGGGCAATGACAACTAAACCTAGAAGATTTCTTTCGTAATCTTTCTTTGGCCTCATTCTTTTAAAAGTTTGGTAAGCTGATTATTCTTGGACAGGTTTGAATTAATTAGAAAACAATTAAGCAAGTATTTGTTTATGAACTAAAGGTACTCTCCCTTATCAGGGTCTTGGTATACTCTATAACACCCATATATTACAGTAAAAACTAGGCTTGTGTTTGATCTAAAGATTCATTGGTTCATTGAAATTTATAAAAGTCAAACTCAAACATTTTACAATTTTTATGACAAGTGATACGTTTTGTATGTTTCGAAGGCCATTATTTTCAAATCCCTGAGTCTTCTTTACTGCTTTGTTTCATTTAAATTATGCTCTACCGTTAGCTTGCCCTTGTGGTAAGGGCACTCCACTCACAAACTGCCGGTCGAATCCCGTCACCGAACATGTTCTCCCAGGAATGGGGGAAATTATACTGTGATGGTCAACCCCACTATTTGTTGATGAAGATAATCATAGGAGTTGGCGGCGTTTACAAGCTATCTTCTCTCTCGTCTATCACTTCAAATTTAAGGAGACGTCTAGTACACGTAGCTCTCGAGTAGTTTTGCGCAAAATTCAACAAAACAACAAGTCAATCCCGGCCAGTACGTGAGAGGGAGCCACTTGCTATATTTTCAGTAAACTTCAATTTCGCCCCTTGTCTTAAAAGTTCTAATAAATGAGGTAATCAGAATCTACTCCCTCATTGTTCAGCCTTTTAAAGAGTCAACGATAACTGAAACCAGTATTCAATGTTTAGCTGGAGTTTAATAAAATGTTAATTTAATCATCTGTTTATCGTTTTATAGCTAAAAAAGAACAAAGGCTCGCGATACACACAAACACATGAGTTAAAATGAATTTTAATTTTTGAGAAAATAAACATTTGTCGTCCTGTACGTATTGGCTACAATCATGTCAATCTTCGCGTCGTATATAAACACATACAGTTCGTGCGGCTGATATCGTGTGATAATTAATGTAACATTGTCGTAGGAACGTTTAATATTATAAGTAATTTAACACCAAACGTACGACTCCATGATTACACTTTCTGTGTACACAAGTGTGAAACTGGCAAAATAAGGAGCGTGCTACACATACATTTTGCATGTATCATAAATAAACCAATGAAATATATATATCCATGCAAAATAAAAGTATACATGTTTAGGTAAACTAACGTATATTGCTCTCTCTATATACATGTATATATATTGAAATTAACAACCACACAAAAACTGGGACCGTATTACATAAACAAGAGGTATTTAAGACACGGCACGAGCTATAAAGTGGCATTACTAATGTTTGTCTTGAACTAGAGAGTGATATTATTAATGTTTGTCTTGAATTAGAGAGTGGCATTAGTAATGTTTGTCTAGAACTAGAGAGTGGCATTACTAATGTTTGTCATGAGCTGAAAAGTGGTATTACTAATGTTTATCATGAGCTAGAGAGTGGCATTACTAATGTTTGTCATGAGCTGGAAAGTGGTATTACTAATGTTTGTCATGAGCTAGAGAGTGGCATTACTAATGTTTGTCATGAGCTAGAGAGTGGCATCACTAATGTTTGTCATGAGCTAGAGAGTAGCATTACTAATGTTTGTCATGAGCTATAAAGTGGCATTACTAATGTTTGTCATGATATGGAGAATGGAATTACTAATGTTTGTCATAAGCTAGAGAGTGGCATTACTAATGTTTGTCATGAGCTAGAGAGTGCCATTACTAATGCTTGTCATGAGCTGAAAAATGACATTACTAATGTTTGTCATGAGCTGGAGAGTGTCATTACTAATGTTTGTTATGAGCTAGAGAATGGCATTACTAACGTTTGTCATGAGCTGGAAAGTGGCATTACGAATGTTTGTCATGAGATGGAGAGTGGCATCGCTAATGTTTGTCACGAGATGGAGAATGGCATCACTAATGTTTGTCATGAGCTAGAGAATGGCGTTACTAATGTTTTTCATGAGCTGGAAAGTGGCATCACTAATGTTTGTAACGAGATGGAGAATGGCATTTCTAATGTTTGTCATGAGCTAGAGAGTGGCATTACTAATGTTTTCATGAGCTAGAGAGTGGCATTACTAATGTTTTCATGAGCTGGAAAGTGGCATCACTAATGTTTGTCATGAGATGGAGAGTGGCATCATTAATGTTTGTCATGAGATGGAG